ATAGGCGTTATGGAGGAAGCGCTCTCATATTGAAAACAAAAGAAATAAAAGCCTTATCCCTCAATTCCATCATATATATATATGATGGAATATATATATATATATAAGTCAATGACTGTAATCATTGATCTGTATGGCCACGACCCTATATTGGTACTTCTGGTCTAGCAGCTAGTCCAGAAGGTAGGGACATTGTTCACATTGTAGCTAACCATAATTCATTTTCTATAAACGCCGATATAATTATTAGATAAGGACTCGATCGCCATTTTGACGTCACTTTTAGAGAGCCCCTCTGTCTCTTTTCCACCCCTCCAGGAAGGCATGACATGAGAGGCTTCTTGAAGCATGCTTAATGAATGAGTGGTAGCTAATCTCATTTCCCCTTGTGATAGGATACGGTGGACTGCTCGAAGTATTCGAGAACCACATATAGTGAGCAGATGAGAGAGATTGCTATTAAACATTTCGTATCTGTCAAGATTGAAAATCTCGAGGCGAGACTTCTGGTCCATGCTTTACAAATAAGCCTTCGTTCGGCAGCCGTTCACGAAGGTTCAGTACAATCGCCAGTCGTAACCAAGCTGGAGCGTCAGGAAGTTGCATACGCAAGGTATTAACTGCCGCGACCATTGATATTATCAGCCTCTCGCCGGCTGTCTGCTACCAGATCATCGCCAAGGTAAACACAACCTGTGAGGTCGCAATTACAGTAGCACGCGTAAGTCTTCAACAGGAATCTCTAGCTACCAGGACACAAGTCATTTATTAGGCAATAAAACTTAGGCGCCTACAATAAAAAAGGGCACGGAATAACTCGTAAGCGGCTGGATCCCGAGCGAGTTTCCTCCTCCCCAAAACTACACTGCTTCGAACACTTTATTCATAACACAACAAAAAGAGCGCAACGAGGTGAGTCATATTCTTCTTTCTTGACGCTGCTACTAGAATTTGAATCCATTTGGCTTGTTGCTCAGCGCCACTAGCGTTCTTCTAAACGCTACCCTAATGTCCTCCACGTCTTCTGATATTGTGGCGGAGAACTAGAAATATTCGATACATGTATTGCTACTACATAGAAAAAAAAAGAAACAAAACAACGAATGTTCACTTACATTCTCAGAATTGTCACACACTAGTGTGACAAGGACGAGCTAATTACGTATATGGTCGTCTAATTCATTATTGATTCTGAATAGTCGCCTCGTAGGAGCGTTTTCCCCAGGCTTTGATGTGCTCATTTCTTGCTTGGAGCTCGCTGAGCTCTTGTATCTGCCTGACGTAGACGGTACACGAACGGTACTCCCACTGAGAAAAAGGTGAAATTGTTTATATTCTAAAGGTCGAGAGAATCAAAGGTAGAAATCCAAAAAATATTAAAACTTACAAGCATGTTCTTCAACATCTTTTCATGGAATTCGTGGTCGGGATGCGGTCTTCTGAAAGAAAAATGTTTAGTCTGACAATTTAAGGTTACAACGGAATATACAAATGTTTTGGGCACACTTACATATTTCTCGGTTCGCGTGTCATTGTGGGGAATCGTCCACCATAGATCTATCTCTCGTAAGCTTGTGGCATTGCCTGCTTTCATAGTCCGCCGGCCGGCGGGCCGGTGGACTATGAAAGCAGCCATTGGAGAGTCTGGCCGAAATTCTCGGTCAGACACGTTCTAGAAATATAAATATTAATAAATGGAAATGTGGAAGCAATTCTTTTTACTCGCTTGTAGAAGGTGGAGCAGGCAGTCCAACCCCATCTCGAATTCTTAGAAAGCTTCTCTCTTTTCATGGGTCTTTATTAGGGCCTGTTGTTGCAATTCACTCTAGGCGAGTGAAGCCTTCTTCGCGGCGTCTAGGACGGCATGAAGTTCGGCCTTCTTTTTTAGAAATTTCCTGAGGGGAAAAACACTGATCACAGTGTTTCTAAAAACAAGTGTATTATATAGTATATGAATAACATTTTCTCTTTTCCTCTCTTCTTAAACAAAAGCTCACCGCGGAGTATGGGGCATCTTCGAATCTGACTTCTTCGAATCTGACTAGGCCGGAGTGGTCACTGTCGGTGGAGAGGCTGGATACCGGACGGCTTATAATGTGCAATATATAGTATATATATATATATATATATATATATATATTTAAAATATCGAAGGGAATAGGAGAAAGAATAGGAGCAAAAATNTGATGTTCATAAATATAGGGCGGGTTTGAACCCATCCATTCTAGCATACCACACCGTGAGCCGCTAGCCCTTATCTAATTTTTGCTCCTATTCTTTCTCCTATTCCCTTCGATATTTTAAATATATATATATATATATATATATATATATATATTTAAAATATCGAAGGGAATAGGAGAAAGAATAGGAGTAAAAATGAGATAAGGGCTAGCGGCTCACGGTGTGGTATGCTAGAATGGATGGGTTCAAACCCGCCCTATATTTATGAACATCAGCTTCTTTTGGGCCAAACGCCAATAGCAATAAACCAGACTTTGGTGGACACGTTTAGGATCGGAGACAGAAGCCGACTCTCAGTTGGGTCACAAAATTTAAGATGCGTGATATATTATAACGCAAACGATCCCCTATCACATCCCCAGAAAAAAACAATTAAC